AACCCAGCAATTTCTCTTCTAGGAATTAAACCTACAGATACAATCATTTATCCAACAGCTATATATGAAAAATGACATACATGCAAGGGTTTTGTTTTTTTTTTTTTTTTAGATGAAGTCTTGCTCTTATTCAACCAGGCTGGAATGCAGTAGTATGATCTCAGCTCACTGCAACCTCTGCCTCCTGGATTCAAGCGATCCTACTGCCTCAGTCTCCCAAGTAGCTGGGATTACAGGCGCCTACCACCACACCCAGTTTAGGTTTGTATTTTTAGTAGAGATGGGGTTTCACCGTGTTGGCCAGGCTGGTCTAGAACTCCTGACCTCAGGTGATCCACCTGCCTCAGTCTCCCGAGTGCTGGGATGACAGGCGTGAGCCACCACGCCCAGCCCTGTGCAAAGTTTCTCATCATAGATTGTTTGAAATAGCAAACGACAGGAAACAAACGTTGATCTACAGGACATTGGTTACGTAAATTATGATACATACATTTAATAAGAATGCCATGTAGCCATAATAAAGAATGAGGGCACTCTTTTTTTTTTTTTTTTGAGATAGAGTTTCGTTCTTTCGCCCAGGATGAAGTACAGTGGCACAATCTCAGCTCACTAAAACCTCCACCCTCCAGGTGTAAGCGATTCTCCTGCCTCAGCCTCCCAGGTAGCTGGGATTACAGGGGCATATCCCACCACGCCCAGCCAATTTTTTTATTTTCAGTAGAGACAGGGTTTCACCATGTTGGCCAGGATGGTCTTGATCTCTTGACCTCGTGATCTGCCCACCTCAGCCTCCCAAAGTGCTGGGATTACATGCGTGAGCCACTGTGCCTGGCCCGGATGCTCTTTATGTACTAAAATTGAATGATCTGTAAACTATTACTGTGAAGTGGACAAAGCATGGTGCTGAGCAGTACGTACAGAATGTTATCATTGATGTAAAAGCACGGTGTGTGTGCAAGAGTGGAAGACTGCATTTCTTTACACATGCCTGGAATGTGCTCTGGAAATATATTCAACAGTGTTAGCTTATGTGAACGGAGAATAACCTGGTCAGGGGACAGGAGAAGCAGACTACACTGTAAACCTTTGCACTTTTAAAATCTCTATGAACAGATTCTCTATTCAAAAATAAATAGATATAATAATAAAAGTGTAATAATAACAACCAGTATTGCTTGCTTGGGAGATGGAGAAATGAATATTCCCATACACTGCCAGAAGAGATGTTAGCTAGTTCCTTCCTGGAGAACAATTCAGCATCAAGTACCAAAGGCCTTATAAAATACATTCCTGCCCAGCAATTACCCTTCTAGGAATTTATCCTAAGCGAACAATCAGATATATACAAATATTTACATACAAAGATGCTCATTGCAGTGTTATGATCCCAAACAATTTGCCAACATCAGGAGATGTTAAATCAAGCAGTTTTTTTTCTCTGTAATGGAACACTAAGCAGCCGTAAAACATCATGTTCCAGTGGAAAATTTAATAACATGAGAAAATGGGCACAATAAATTGTCGAGGGAAAAAAGCAGGTTACCAAACAATAAGTGCTACATTATCCCAATTTCGCAAAAGAAAAAACGTATTTTCGGAGGAAAAAGTGGCTGGATGGATGTAAGCAAAAATGTTAACAGTGCCTATCACTGGTTATGAGATTTTTTTCTCTTTATGCTTCTCTGTATTTTCCAAAGTAAACATATATTACTTTTACAATCAGATAAAAACAACAGATATTTTTTAAAAGCAAGAAAATAGCAGCTTTCTAGAAAATTGCAGAGTACCATAATCACCCACACACTGGCCTCATGAAATAGGAAGGCTCATCTCCCTCCACATCCAGAGCAAACCTACATTTTTTATTTGGCTTCACTTTTTATTTTCCCTGTTTTCCTTGAAGAACCTCCCATGTGATCACATTTATGATGCATATACATAAAGTTGAAGAGATTGGCTCTGAAAAAAGAACTATTAAGCCATTTATCAGTGGATCATTACACCTAATGGACTTTAATCCCTTAGCAATCACTAAAGCTTACATTATTTAGCTACTTTATTATAACACTACAAAGCAGGGATTTTATCAGCTGTAGAAGCTGCTGTTGTAGGTGTGATGGTTTTTGGAAAATTAATCCCAAATTTCAAGCACGTTCAAGCATAAATCTGTTAAAAGATTCAGAGTAGGGTGTACACCCTTCAAATTAAAAAAAAAATGTTTTTAACAGAGACAGGGCTTCACTGTGTTGCCTAGGCTGGTCTTGAACTCCTGGGCTCAGGCAATCCTACTGCCTCCATCTCCCAAAGTGCTGGAAGTACACATGTGAGCCAGTGCTCAGCCTACCTGTCAAATGTAAAGTTAGTCTTTTAATATCCAAGGTCACAGAACTGGTGCAAAAGATTGATACATTCCTGCTTTAAGCCTATATAAATCTCTTAAAAGCTATGGAAGGAAGTTTCTCAGGGAATCCTGTTCTGGTTGACTATGAAAGCAGGACAGTAAGAGTAATATATATATATTATTTTATAGATGGAGTCTTGCTATGTTGCCCAGGCTGGTCTTAAACTCCTGGGGTCAAGAAATCCTCTTGCCTCAGCCTCCCAAAGGGCTGGGATTACAAGTGTGAGCCACTGTGCCCAGCCAAGAGTAATGGATGACTGAATCTATCAGGCTAACAGTCTCATTAGGCATTCAGACAAAAATGGCATACAGTTCAACAAGAGCTGACAGACACAGGCGAGGCAGGCAAGGCAGCTCACTGCTACGAGATAGCTGAAGAAATATGGAAGCAGAAGTTTCTTGAAGAAATTAAAAAAAAAAAAAAATATATATATATATAGAGAGAGAGAGAGAGAGAGAGAGAGGCAGGATCTCACTCTATTACCCAGGCTAGTGCAGTTGGCATGATCACAACTCACTGAAGTCTGGAACTCCTGGGTTCAGTGATCCTCCTGAGTAGCTGGGACTGATATGGGAGGGGGGCAGGGAAGTGCTGCATAGAGAAAGGTGGGTCCCTGGCTAAGGCTTCACCCTTGGGCCCTTGCCCACGGACCTAGGTGAGGACAGGCACTCCCGCCTTTGCGCCCAAATTTTGCATTTTCTAAGACTACCCTGGCCTGCCACGCCCCCAGCCTGGGCCTATAAAAACCCAATACCCTAGCAGGCAGACAGGCAAGCAGCTGGATGCTGTTAGCAGCACGCCAGTGGAAGAGCAGCCGACAGGCACTAGCAGGCCTTTGACCGGTGGGCAGAACGACACGGAGTTTGGCCAGAGCAGGTGGAGAGGAGTGGGCCTCAGAGTGGCTGACTCCAGGGAAAAGCCATCTCCCTTTGGCTCACCAACCTGCTGAGAGCTACTTCTACTCAATAAAACGTTCACTCATTCTGCAAGCCCATGTGTGATCCGATTCTTCTGGTACACCAACGCAAGAACCCGGGATACAGAAAGCCCTCTGTCCTTGCGACAAGGTAGAGGGTCTCTTTGAGCTGGTTAACACAAGCCGCCTACAGATGGCAAACTAAAAGAGCATCCCATAACACACACCCACTGGGGCTTCAGCTGGGAACGCTCATCTCCGGACACTGCCATGGGGTCGGAGCCCCACAGCCTGTCCGTCTGTCTGCGCCCCTAGAGATTTGAGCATCGGGGCACTGAAGAGGCGAACCACACCTCACCGCACACCCTGTGAGAGGGCCAAGGGAGACTTTCTCATCTCAGGACCACAGATGCACACCACCACCAGTCAGGCTAATGTAAAACAATTTCTTTGCGGGCTGGGCATGGTGGCTTAAGCCTATAATCCCAGCACTTTGGGAGACCAAGGCAGATGGCTCACCTGAGGTCAGGAGTTTGCAAGCAGCCTGTCTAACATGGTGAAACCCCATTTCTACTAAAAATAAAAATAATTAGCTGGGAGTAGGCCAGGCACGGCGGCTCATGCCTGTAATCCCAGCACTTTGGGAAGCTGAGGCGGGTGGATCACAAGGTTAGGAGTTCAACACCAGCCTGACCAACATGGTGAAACCCCATCTCTATTACCAAAAAAAAAAAAAAAAAAAAAAAAAATTAGCCAGGAGTGGTGGCATGAGCCTCTAGTCCCAGCGACTCAGGAAGCTGAGGCAAGAGAATCATTTGAACCTGGGAAGCAGAGGTTATAGTGAGCCCAGATTGCACCATTACACTCAGCTTGGGAAAGAGTGGAAAAAAAAAAATTTTATGTGGAGAAGAGGTCTCCCTATATCGTCCAGGCTGGTCTTAAACCCCTGGCCTCAAGTGATCCTCCTGACTCGGCCTCCCAAAGTGCTGGGATTACAGGTGTGAACCACTGTGCTGGGCCTATAAACTACCTTTTGTGTTAGACTCTAACCACAGCAGAATTCTGCCAGGTTTTTCTTTCTTTCTTTCTTTCTTTCTTTCTTTCTTTCTTTCTTTCTTTCTTTCTTTATTTTTTAAGATTGGGTTTCACCATTATGGCCAGGCTTGTCTTGAACTCCTGACCTCAGGTGATCCACCCACCTCAGCCTCCCAAAGTGCTAGGATTACAGGCGTGAGCCACTTTGCCCAGCCCAGGTTTCTTTTTCAAATCCATTCAATAAATTATAGACATTCAATAAAAACAAAACACTGGCTGTTAGCAATACAGCTCTATGTCCTGAAGAAATATGCATTGTTAAATTGCTGAGCTGGGCCAGGAATGGTGGCTTATGCCTGTAATCCCAGCACTTTGGGAGGCTGAGGTGGGCGAATCACCTGAAGTCAAGACCAGCCTGGCCAACATGGTGAAACCCTGTCTCTACTAAAAATACAAAAATTAGCTGGGCGTGGTGGCGCACACCTGCAATCCTAGCTACTCAGAAGACTGAGGCGGGAGGATTGCCTGAACCCGGGAGGCGGAGAATGCAGTGAGCTAAGATCGCGCCACTGCACTCCAGCCTGGTGACAAGGCGAGACTGTGACTCAAAGAAAAATAAATAAATTGCTGAGCTGGGAGCATTTTACCTTAGAGTACAGCACTGCAGCTACTGTGTAATCTTTCTCCTGAAATTTTTTGTTTCCTTCTTCTCTGTAGAAAAGGGGAGCGCCAGAGTCCTTTCCCACGAAGTAACCTTTAGAAAGTCTTTTTAGAAATATCTCATCCTCAGGTCTGCATGAAGAAAGAAAACAAAATAAGCAGAAATTTGTTATTTCAAGGAAAGCTCCAAACCATTGCCCTTGGAACAAGAAAGTGGGCCAGTGAAAAACTGAAATTGAACCAATTTCAATTTCACACACATGAGGATATACATACTGTGTAATGCGATTAGAGGAAACAGATCTCATAGTCTCAGAGACATAGGGACCAGAATTTTTTTTTATTTTTTCTGAGACAGGGTCTCAATCTGTCGCCCACAGGCTGGAGTGCAGTGGTGCCATCTGAGCTCACTGCAGTCTCGACTTCCCAAGCTCAGATGATTCTCCCAGATGACTCACTAATTGGGAGGATGCATGACAGTAGGCCTAGCTAATTTTTGTACTTTTTGTAGAGGTGGGGTTTTGCCATGTTGCTCAGGCTGGTCTTGAACGCCTGTGCTCAAATGATTGGCAGAATTTTTTTTTTTTTTTGAGATGGAGTCTCGCTGTGTCACCCAGGCTGGAGTGCAGCGTTGTGATCTCGGCTCACTGTGACCTCCGGCTCCCCAGTTCAAGTGATTTTCCTGCCTAAGCCTCCTGAGAAGGTGGGATTACAGGCATCCATCACCATACCCAGCTAAATTTTTGTATTTTTAGTAGAGAAAGGGTTTCGCCATGTTGGCCAGGCTGGTCTCAAACTCCTGACCTCAAATGGTCCCACCTGCCTCAGCCTCCCAAAGAGCTGGGAATACAGGTGTGAGCCACCGCGCCTGGCCAGAATTTCTATTTAGAGGACTTAATGCTAATTTATTATTCTTTATCTCATAATTATTGGACAATGAACTATCCCTAAGATCATACATCATAAAAATCTTTGTTGTTTTTTTGAGACAGAGTTTCACTCTGTGACCCAGGCTGGAGTGCAGTGGCGTGATCTCAGCTCACTGTAACCTCTGCCTCCCTGGTGCAAGTGATTCTCCTGCCTCAGCCTCCCGAGTAGCTGGGATTACAGACATGCACCACCACAACCTGGCTAATTTTTGTACTTTCAGTATAGATGAGGTTTCACCATTTTGGCCAGGCTGGCCTTGAACTCCTGACCTCAAGTGAACTACCTGCCTGGGCCTCCCAAAGTGCTGGGTTTACAGGCAGAAGCTACTGCACCCAGCCAGGATCTTGAGTCTGGAGAATGAGGTTAATATATGGTGTCTTTTGAACCAAGGAGTATTCTCCACTTCAATTGCTGAAAATACTTGAGTGGCTGACAGAACAGAAGAAGAGAGATAATGAGAATGAATCATAAGGTAAATGTAGTAAAATATTAACACTTGCAAAGTTTGGAAGAATTCAAAATTCAGCAGTTCTGTGTACTTTTTTTTTTATGGGGGGGGGGAGACAGAGTCTCCCCAGGTTGGAATGCAGTGGCACAATCTCGGCTCACTGCAAACTCTGCCTCCTGGGTTCAAGCGATTCTTGTGCCTCAACCTCCCAAGTAGCTAGGATTACAGGTTTGAGTCAACACGTCTGGCTAATTTTTTGTATTTTAATAGAGATGGGGTCTCACTGTGTTGCCCAGGCTGGTCTCAAACTCCTGAGCTCAGGCAATCTGCCCACCTCACCCTCCCAAAGTGCTAGGATCACAGGTGTGAGCCACTGTGCCCAGCCTCTTCGTACTACTTTTCCAAGTCTGAAATTATTTCAAACTGAAAAGTTTAAAAATATAAATGTTCTACATAATAAAATGAAGTTGACCTCATATATAGAGACATACACACATACTGGCAAAAGAGAATGTACCTTTTTCCCAATATAAATAAATAATACAGAATAACCTATTCTCTGACTATATGCGTAAAGCAAAATCTGAATAACAAAAGTGGAAACAAATGACACGGAAACTAAAAATTCTCCTAAGCAACTGTTGAATCAAAGAAGAAATCACAGCAATGCAGAATGGCCAGGTGCAGTGGCTCACACCTACAATCCCGGCACTTTCGGAGGCTGAAGAGAGAGGACTGCCTGAGCTCAGGAGCTTCACACTAGCCTGGGCAACATGATAAGACCCTGCCTCTACAAAAAATACAAAAATTAGCTGGGTGTGGTGGCATATGCCTGTAGTCCCAGCTACTTGGGAGGCTGAGTTGGGAGGATCGCTTGAGCCCAGGAGGTTGAGGCTGCAGTGAGCCATGATGGCACCACTGTATTCAAGCCTGGGCGACAGAGCGAGACCCTGTCTCAAAAAAACAAAACAAAACAAGAACGAAGAGCCCTGGAGAATGTTTATAAATATTTTTTAAATTTTTGTTTACAAAGAATCACAATAAGAAATACCTTTTACATTGTGACTGAGTATGATGCTTTTGTGTTTGAATATATTAAAATTTTATAAAACATTATTTATCTTTGCTACGAGGTAAAACAAAGTTAGTATCAAATATGATTTTATTAATATTTAAATACAACATAGAAAAATCACAAATAGGGCAGGGCGCTATGGCTCATACCTATAATGCCAGCCCTTTGGGAGGCCGAGGTGGGCAGATCACCTGGCCCAGGAGATCAAGACCAGCCTGGGCAACATAGTGGAACCCATCTCTACAAAAAATACAAAAATCATCTGGGCATGGTAGCAGACACTTGTAGTCTCAGCTACTTGGGAGGCTGAGGCATAAGAATTGCTTGTGCCTGGAAGGCAGAGGTTGCAATGAGCCGAGATCGCGCCACCACACTCCAGCCTGGGTCAAATAATACAAGAGAAAAATTAGGAGATTTTATTTAATTCAAGAGGTGTGCTTACTTGTTCTACACTTACTCCAATCCAGAAAATTTGAAGGCAATCCCCTATGCCTATCTGGTACACCATAGAGCTTGCTCTTTTTTCTATTTTTGTTTTAAATTATGTTAAATCTAAAAATCCTAGTTCAAGCAAAAGGTTTGTGGTAAACAGTAATAACAGCAAAATTCTTCTTGCCTAACAATAGATGCGCATTAACTCTCACCCAAAATGATGATGAACTCAGTGTTTTTTAGTTGTACTTCAGTGTAATTAGGAGCTAAGCTGCAACAATTCATTCTTTTCTCCAGGTACCAGGTTAACTCAGTAACTGACTTACGACTTTTCAAAAGCAAATGGATGTCTGCTTTTCTTTTTTGTTGAGACAGGGTCTCACTCTGTCACCTAGGCTGGAATACAGTGGCTCCATCACAGTTCAGTGAATCCTTAACCTTCTGGGCTCAAGCGATCCTCCTGCCTCAGCCTCGTCAGTAGTGATGACCACAGGTATGCACCACCATGTCTGCCTTTTTGAATTTTTTTTTTTAAGCAATGGGGTTGCTTTGTTACCCAGGCTGGTCTTGAACTCCTGGGCTCAGGTGATCCTCCTAAGGGGCTGGGATTACAGGTGAGTCACAGTGCCCAGCCTACTGTCTTGATTTTTCAGTAGAGATGAAGTCTCAATATGTTGCCCAGGGTGGTCTCAAACTCCTGAGCTCAAGTGATCCTCCTGCCTTGGCTTCCCAAAGTGTTAGGATTTCAGGGGTGTTTCACTGCATCCAGCTGATTCTTTTTTCTTTAATTTCTTCTGGAATATTGTGATACAAAATTGAGGCTGAGTGGGGAAGATGGCTTGAGCCCAGGAGGCCAGGGCTGCAGTGAGCTATGACAGTGCAACAGCACTCCTGCGTGGGCAGCACAGCAAGACCCTGCCTCAAAAACAATAATAATAATTCGGTAGTAAGACGGAACAAGCAATCTTTCTAATTTTTTCTTTTTTGAGATGGAATCCCGCTCTGCCACCAGGCTGGAGCAGAGTGGTACAATCTTGGCTCACTGCAACCTCCAACTCCCTGGTTCAAGCTATTCTCCTGCCTCAGCCTCCCAAGTAGCTGGGACTACAAGGGTGCGCCACCACACCCAGCTAATTTTTGTATTCTTAGTAGAGATGGGGTTTCACCATGTTGGCCAGGATGGTGTTGATCTCCTGACCTCATGATCCAGCCATCTTGGTCTCCCAAAGTGCTGGGATTACAGGCGTGAGCCACCACGCCTGGCCCTAATTTTTTTTTCCCTCACAGTTCTGCTAGAGAGCCTAATTTTTAAAATTGTAGTACAATATGCATAATATAAAATGTATTTAAACCATTTTCTCCACTCCCACACCCAATCTATTTAAACCAATTTTTAAGTGTACAGCTCAGTAGCATTAAGTACATTCATATTGCACAACCGTCACCACTGTTCATTTCCAGAACTTTTTCATCATCCCAAGCTGAAACTCCACCCTTCAAATAACTCCTCATTCCTCCCTCTCCACATTCCCTGGTAACCTGTATTCTGCTTTCTGCCTCTGTGAATTTACTTATTCTAGGTACTTCATGTAAGCGTAATCATACGTTATTTTTCCTTTTGTGTCTAACTTATTTCACTTAGCAAAAAGTTTTCAAGGTACATTATGTTGTAGTATAAACCAGAATTTCACTCCTGTAAAAAAATTTTTTTTTTCTTTTTCAGTGATAAAGCTTATAAAAATTTTTTTTAAAGAGATGGAGTCTCCCTCTGTTGCCCAGGCTAGAGGGCAGTAGCTAATCTGCACTCTAGCACGGGCAACAGGCACAATCTAGCTACAGGTACAATCACTGCACACTATGGCCTTTTTGTAGAGATAGGGTCTCAATACGATGCCCAGGCTGGTCTTGAACTCCTGGCCTCAAGAGATCCTCCTCTGCCTTGGCCTCCTAAAGTGCTAGGATTTCAGGCATGAGCCACCACACCTGGCCTCTCACTTTTTACAGATGTATGAAATTTGGCAGGGTTCAGTGGCTCACACCTGCAATCCCAGTACTTTGGGAGGCTGAGGTAGAAGGATCACTTGAGGTCAGGAGTTCAAGACCAGCCTGACCAACATGACAAAACCCCATCTCTACTAAAAACACAAAATTAGTCGGGTGTGGTGGCTCATGCCTATAATCCC